TTACAGTTTGTTGCACCAAAATGATACCTTTTCTTTACGATTGAAAATTTTTACATTCCCTATTTCCCAAAAAGAAGACACGTCGAAGCAAATCAAAGGGGTCACAAGGATGCTTCACATTTGCAGAATTTTGAATGAATGCCCATTCTGGGCTTCAGAACTTCACCAACACTAGATTACAAGTTTAAAAATTCCTTCATGCTTTTTTTTTAAATTAAATTCAGGACTGTCTCATTTCGGCGACACTGAAAAAAAAAAAAATTAAAATTAATCTCCAGGGGACAACTTAACAAATAATCGTTTGATTCTTCTCGAGGAAAAATTAATTGCTGATTTATTTTCCATTGGCTACAGTGTCATGGGAATATTGGTACACGAGATATAAAATTTGAACAAGTAAGCTGTTTAAGAAAGTAGAATTGATAATTTATACGCCAAATATGAGTAACTTGATATTTTCTTTGCGATTTCTTTGGCAGTGGGTGGAATCATTTTTTATGTGTCTCCTGAACAGAAGTTTTTAACGGAATACCAAGCAAAGGAAAGATTTTGAATACTCCAGCCGGTATGTTTCAAAAGTATAAAAAAATAATAGTAATTTCACCCAAATTTTCCAACAAAAATTAGATAAATATTTTCTTGGAACTACATCACAAAAAGGAGCCGATAAAATCGAAACGTTTCCTGGTCAATTCTCAAAATATTAGTTAAAAATTTTCAGTAAGCCCCAATCTGATGGTAAACAAAGAAGTATACATCACATATCTTGATATTTATGAACGAAAAACACGGGTTCATGCACTTTCAAACGTTGAAATTGTAGTGATAGCTCAACAACAACCATTGGTGGAATTATTTCAACAAACTCCGATAAAATCACACAATAAATGCAAAAATGCGCCTTTTTTGGTTTACTGCATGTTAGCAGTGAAATATTCTGGAATTCTTAGGTTCCGTTTGAGAGATCAACAGGAGTAAACAAATCATAACAAACTCCGATAAAATCACACAATAAATGCAAAAATGCGCCTTTTTTGGTTTACTGCATGTTAGCAGTGAAATATTCTGGAATTCTTAGGTTCCGTTTGAGAGATCAACAGGAGTAAACAAATCAATGTTTGCGAGATTGATTTGATGGGAAGTGTGGCATTGGATTCGCAGACGTAGAAGAGAAGCATCCGTTTGATTCGCTATCTAGAGCAGATAAGCGACATCTAGTCGCAACGTTTCAAACTCACGGGTGAATATTTTTCAAACACGGGTGTTGATGGAGTACCCGTTTTTAGGAACAATTGGACAACTGAAGTATAATGGAGGCCTGAAGAAAAAACTTGGGTGTAACCAATGATCGTACCTAAACTACTATTTAGGAATTTTGGTAGTTTAGAATTTAGGGCTGTCGAAACGATAGCGTGGGAAGTTTCTCTTGGTGAACAGTGCGGTTCCGTTTTTAAGGAGTTTTAAACTCTTTTATTTACAATAAAAAAAACGCAGTGACTGCCAGTGCAAAGCCATAATAAAACTTCAACATTTTCAGCACCTTACTACATTGTGAGTTTCATAGACATTATCAGTTTCTTTTTCAAAGAAGAAATGTGACCTGTTTTTTTCCGAAAAATCGCATGTAACCTCCAATGGAAAACGAATTCTGAGGGGAACAAAAGTAGTGAAATGAGGTTAGGAACCCCTCACCTGGATTATTTATGGTTATAAAAATTCGAGGTATGGCATAGGTTTTCAATTACTTGAACTGTTTTTGTTAAATAAAATTCTGTGAACATTCTCAACTTTTTCAAAGAAAGTTTTCATGATTGTTGCACAGGGAATTTTCTGAAATCCTCGTAGAATAACGACCAAAACCTCTAGTATGCCATTTCCAAAATAACAGAAAGTCAATTACTGTATTTGCGTGATAAGAAAGAATCTCAGAATAAATTTTCTGAAAATATATTCCACATTTTTATCATTGAAAATTGTCAATAACTTTCTGATGAAACCATTTCAAAATTAATGTCCAACCCTCACAGGCTCTGCTGATGGGGGAAGATATAAAGAGAGAATAGAAAGAAACAAAGGAAAGAACAATTACCAAGAATATGCCAGCTCCCAACTATTGCAAACAACTTTTAGTATAATACCACTTCCATTATTCCAAGAACCAGAGTAAATTCCAGGAACCAGACAGAGTGATTATAAATAATCACAGCTTCCTTTGCTTACAACAAAAACCCTTGTTTCCCTGACTTGAAACCTCCCCAAGTCAAAAAGTCCCTCAGTCAAATTTTTGCTGGTCCTTCAAATTTGACTTAGAGAGGTTTGGCTGAATCTGTGAATTACTTGACAAAACAGCAAGTTTTCAACAAGGCAATGAATTGGGCAGTTCAGAAGACAGCAGCAAAGATTGATTCTTGATACAAAAGAAAGCAATTTGAACCCAGCAGAAAAAAAAATTTGTTACATTAAAAAAAACAGGTGAAATCAACCTCAAGTAGGATTGTGGCTATACAGCAGGCAAACACGAACTCTCCACCAGAAGTAATTTCCTGTAATGACCCTGCACTTGTGCTCAGAAATTGGCACACATTTAATGGCAACCTTTGCACACCTTTTGCAAGAATAATGGAAGAAAAACCTTGAATGGAAAGCAAAGCGCTTTAATAAAATCAGCAATACCATATCCGCAATTTCTTGGACAAGGAACCAAACAAAAAAAAGTTTTCCCAAGTGTTATAAAAATTCCCAGTGCGGTAACTTCAGGGAAACGAAAAAGAAAATCAAGACCAAACTTCACTAGACTACAGGCCACTCTTATAAAAAGAAAAATTTATAAATCTAGATTTATCTACCTGTTGACAAAATCCGTGGTTCAAACACAAGGCACTTTTTTTCCCTTAAAATGAGAACCCGTAGTTGATCAAATTATTAATTTTTCTAATGTGGTTGCCAAAAAAAAATAAAGACTCTTCTCTTATGCTTGACACGATTTCAATTTTCAAATGTCTTACACTGAACAACCGCAATATGAGTGCATTTAATTTAAGCAGCTCATTTAAAATTCCCTCGGGGATCCTCAACACATAGAAATTCAACCTCTTTCACAAGGGAATTAATTTTTTTTCTTTCGGAGTCTGGATCCCATCAACATTCCATACACACGCTTAATTGACCTTTCTTTCGNTTTCAGTAAGCCCCAATCTGATGGTAAACAAAGAAGTATACATCACGTATCTTGATATTTATGAACGAAAAACACGGGTTCATGCACTTTCAAACGTTGAAATTGTAGTGATAGCTCAACAACAACCATTGGTGGGACTATTTCAACAAACTCCGATAAAATCACACAATAAATGCAAAAATGCGCCTTTTTTGGTTTACTGCATGTTAGCAGTGAAATATTCTGGAATTCTTAGGTTCCGTTTGAGAGATCAACAGGAGTAAACAAATCAATGTTTGCGAGATTGATTTGATGGGAAGTGTGGCATTGGATTCGTAGACGTAGAAGAAAAGCATCCGTTTGATTCGCTAACTAGAGCAGATAAGCGACATCTAGTCGCAACGTTTCAAACTCACGGGTGAATATTTTTCAAACACGGGTGTTGATGGAGTACCCGTTTTTAGGAACAATTGGACAACTAAAGTATAATGGAGGCCTGAAGAAAAAACTTGGGTGTAACCAATGATCGTAGGATTTGATGATAAATCCTTAAAACCATCAAATCTTAAATCCCGACAGCTTTGCTATCGCACCCTTCAAAGAGAACCACTTGTCACGCCAAGGCAAAAATTCCTCAAAATTTGAGAAAATAAATGTTAAAAAAAAACGCAGTGACTGCCAGTGCAAAGCCATGATAAAACTTCAACATTTTCAGCACCTTTCTACATAGTGAGTTTCATAGACATCAGTTTTTTTTTTCAACGAAGAAATGTGACCTGTTTTTCCCGAAAAATCGCATGTAACCTCCAATGGAAAACGAATTCTGAGGGGAACAAAAAAAGTGAAATGAGGTTAGGAACCCCTCGCCTGGATTATTTATGGTTATAAAAATTCGAGGTATGGCATAGGTTTTCAATTACTTGAACTGTTTTTGTTAAATAAAATTCTGTGAACATTCTCAACTTTTTCAAAGAAAATTTTCATGATTGTTGCACCGGGAATTTTCTGAAATCCTCGTAGAATAACGACCAAAACCTCTAGCATGCCATTTCCAAAATAACAGAAAGTCAATTACTGTATTTGCGTGATTAGAAAGAATCTCAGAATAAATTTTCTGAAAATATATTCCACATTTTCATCATTGAAAATTGTCAATAACTTTCTGATGAAACCATTTCAAAATTAATGTCAAACCCTCACAGGCTCTGCTGATGGGGGAAGATATAAGGAGAGAATAGAAAGAAGCAAAGGAAAGAACAATTACCAAGAAAATGCCAGCTCCCAACTATTGCAAACAACTTTGAGTATAATACTTCTTCCATTATTCCAAGAACCAGAGTAAATTCCAGGAACCAGACAGAGTTATTATAAATAATCATGGCTTCCTTTGCTCGCAAAAAAACCCTTGTTCCCTGACTTGAAACCCTCCAAGTCAAAAGGTCCCTCAGTCAAATTTTTGCTGGTCCTTCAAATTTGACTTAGAGAGGTTGGGCTGAATCTGTGAATTACTTGACAAAACAGCAAGTTTTCAACAAGGCAATGAATTGGGCAGTTCAGAAGACAGCCTCAAAGATTGAATCTTTATACAAAACAAAGCAATTTGAACCCAGCAGAAAAAAAAATTTGTCACATAAAAAAAAAAGGGGGGACATCAACCTCAAGTATGATAGTGGCTATACTGCAGGCAAACACGAACTCTCCACCAGAAGTAATTTCCTGTAATGACCCTGCACTTGTGCTCAGAAATTGGCACACATTTAATGGCAACCTTTGCACACCTTTTGCAAGAATAATGAAAGAAAAACCTTGAATGGAAAGCAAAGCGCTTTAATAAAATCAGCAATACCATATCCGCAATTTCTTGGACAAGGAACCAAAAAAAAAAAGTTTTCCCGAGTGTTAAAAAAATTCCCAGTGTGGTAACTTCAGGGAAACGAAAAAGAAAATCAAGACCAAACTTCACTAGACTACAGGCCACTCTTATAAAAAGAAAAATTTATAAATCTAGATTTATCTACCTGTTGACAAAATCCGTGGTTCAAACACAAGGCACTTTTTTTCCCTTAAAATGAGAACCCGTAGTTGATCAAATTATTAATTTTTCTAATGTGGTTGCCAAAAAAAAATAAAGACTCTTCTCTTATGCTTGACACGATTTCAATTTTCAAATGTCTTACACTGAACAACCGCAATATGAGTGCATTTAATTTAAGCAGCTCATTTAAAATTCCCTCGGGGATCCTCAACACATAGAAATTCAACCTCTTTCACAAGGGAATTAATTTTTTTTCTTTCGGAGTCTGGATCCCATCAACATTCCATACACACGCTTAATTGACCTTTCTTTCGTCATAAAAAATCTCGTAAAATTAGAGGCACCAAAACCAAAAAAAAAAACTGCCAAAAATTCAACAGTGTGGCCTGTAGTCCGGTAAATACGATAAACTCAACACACCTAGGACGCGTTAGTTCCTTCAATTCAGATGTATAACATGTTTATCATGCGCATATAAATTGGCTCTCGTGCAATGCAAAAAAAAAAAAATCTCGTACATTTCAACTTCTTCCCTCTCGTTTTTCAAAAAAAAACACACGCGCGCGCGCAAAAAAAAAAAAAGGAGGGTGGCTCTCCGGCAGACAAAACGATTTTCTTCTTCCCATTCCTTCAGATTCACTTCACTTCACTTCACTGCGTCGGAGACGGATGATTGTTCCTCAGTCGTCGTCGTCGCCAATTCCTCGAGTGGCTCCCATACTCGGCCAAAAACATGTCGGCCAAATGAAAAACCTTCTTGCCGGCAAACCGATTGGCCTGGTCCGACACCGTCTTGTCCTCGGGCGTTTTCGCATCATCCGGTCGCACCTTTTCCAACTCGGCAGAAATGCTCGCCGCCACGTGATTCGCCGACACGGATCGCATGCTCGTCCGACACTTGGGACAATTGACGCGCGGAGTGCCGCGTCGAAAAACCCAGGCAGACAAACACCCGCCGCAAAACGCGTGCAAACATTGGCACGGCGACACGGCATTGTGCACGAGTTCCATGCAAATGGAGCAAGTCACGGCATCCACGATGGCGTCCAGAGTGGAAGTGACTTCCGGTGAGGACGAGGATGATGATGATTGTTGTTGTTGGCGGATCACAGAGCGGGAACGAGACCTTCGTTGGGCTGGCTCTTCCGTTTCCGCTTCAATCACTCTGCGCAGTTCCGAGTCCAAATCCGCCACCAATCTGGAAGCCCGCACAAACATTTAAATGATGGTAAAAATTTCGGATGAATTTTCAAGATGCTATTTCATATTTCTACAGCGCACAAGGAAAGAAGGTAGCGACTGTTGAGTTGACGACAATACATTTGTCAGGAGGGATGCTAGGTGTCACTCCTGCATCATGGATAACTCAAACCTCCTCAAGTTGAATATTTCCTCACGTCAATTCAAGTCTCGGTCTGAATTTCCTTGGAAAAAACCCTCTCCAAACCAAAGGCTTTCCTCCTCAAACCTCCATATCTCAAATTTTCTGGCGGCCTCCAATCAACTAATCAAAACACAAATTCAAGGCCCCTAGAATATAAATAATTATAATTTCCTGTACTGTACTTCTCTTTTTTCCCATACCCAAATATTGCTTTCCTCAACTCCAGAAATTTCTCTAATTTGAATTGTTAACTTGTCCCTTAAAATTCAACTTGAGAAGGTTCCACCATATTGAAGGGTCTTTGTGAACAAATACTCTGGCTTTCAAACTTCTTGGTGGAAAAATCATCTGGCTAATAACATTTTTGGTCAACAAACTTTGGGTCTGGGCCTCAGATGCCTTGCAAACTTTGGTTAGTTTATATTGTACAAGTATCATCCAAGTTGTGGATGATACAATAGGACAGCTACCTGGCAGGAATAGAAGATCACAATAGTGAAGATGCAAGTCAATCTTTATACTTTTCAATTAGTTTTAAACTTGATGCACCAAGTCTTTGCAAAATATTTTTTGTTCACTAGCTGGGAATAATCTTTTGAGTGCACTAAATTATGACCACAGCTTTCTCATTTTTCTCTTCATATTATAAAATAACCCTTGGTGAGTGCTCAGCCAAAGTCACAAATGATTTATCTGGATTCAAACCTGGACAGCTCTATTTCTGAACCTGTCTTGTCTGCACCCACTTCACTGGTTATTCCCCAGGACAATCTGAGGTCAGAATCTACTGAAAGCAGTAGATTCTGACCTCATTCATGGCCCATGATATTCATTAAACTCAGGTTTCCAATTGCCAACATATCATTATGCTTCCACAAAACCAGGACACAATCCACTACAAAATTGTCATGGAGTGTACCTCAGACTACCACCCTTGCTGCCTAATTGATCAGTCTTGAACAGTTCAAAATCTACCTCTGCCAATTGCTTTCAGTCATACTGAATCATACTATAGTTAATGTCTTCTAGGTAGCAGTGCAGCACACTTACTGAACAAGCAAAATACCATCATTGTAAGCCTCTGATTATGCTCAGGGCTAATGCCCTTCACTCATTTCCAATGGTCCCTGGATAAAACATGTGCATAATTTGCACACTGCAGCATAATTTGCTCTGCACCAAACACAGGTGGTACCTTGCAATTTGACATCCTGCAATTTGATGGTTTTATTTGCTGGGAGGTCAACTGGCAATTTGACCTCTGCCCCACAATCTGACCTGCTGAGAGACACAAAATGTCAAAATTGATGCAGAAAATACCGCATTTGACATGGTCTTGCAATTTGACTGCTTCAGAATTTGACCTTAGCCCAGCAGCAGATTAGGGTCAAATTGCAGGGTATCACCTGTACATCCCTCACAGGCCATTTTTCCAGAAGGAACTCCCAAACCAATGCCATTACATCTGCCCTCATTTGGCAGTTTCTGGTAATTTCCGTGGGAGGCCTTCACACAATCCCTTCCCCCCAAGGCAGCAACTGATCACAACCTTACATAAGATTTGCACACAGTGTATCCAGACAAATATCACCTCAATCACCGACATACATAATCATTGTACTCTTTTCCTACCACAGGAAAGGGAAACCATCACACATTGGTGAGAGCATCATAGTTGCTTTGTATTCCCCATTCAAGCTGAATGCTCTTTGGGTAAACAAACTCCTCATGGTTTCTCAACCAACACAATTGGTTACAGGCTCTTCTGAAGACTGTTGCCTCAAATTGCAAATCCAGGTAAATACCCAAAATGATTCTCATCTCATCTTGCAAGAGTGTCTGCTGTTGAAGGAGGAAAATCTACCCATGAGATCAATCTTTTGGCTAAAGATGGGGTTGCTCATATTGAAGTTGGCATTGATCCTGGGACCATCATGGAGATATTCTAGCTAGAGGACTTAGTGCCACATCTTTGGCTGCCTTTTTGAGCTAGCTAGACAGAGGATTCAAGGCTAAGCTTGGTTACCTAACCTTTTCAGCCTAAAGTCATCCAACATTTCAAATTCATAAATATTTTTTTGAGCACAAACAGCAGCTTTTGCTCATTGCTTACTGCTATCTTTTTTGCTAGGCATGAGCCATAGTGTATAGGAAAAATTGTAATTAAAAAAATTAGATTGGCTTGAAATCCAATGGCCAACATCAGGAAATGTCAAGATTGGGTTAGGGACAGCTGTCCTTTGTTTAACAAGCACTGTACATAGTGCTCCCCTTTGGCCTACAAACAGGCCCTTCAATCTCGCATGTGTTGTCCAAGCAATAACCCTGGAAGGATTTCATCCTCCCGAATGCCCAACAATAAATGCTCAATTGATGGCATCCCTGCATGCATAAATTGGAATTTTGGTGCTTCCAGAAGATTTTTGTCCTTAATTTTGGTAGTTCCATTCATGGCTGATTCATCTTGGGGTAAATTTTGATGCTGCCACGTTACCTGTTGTCACCCAGCCACATAATGGCTGGGGGAGTGTCAACCATTTTGTTACACTTCTTTGGAGTACAATCTCAGGAGTTACTTTAGAAGAACATGACAGCTTTTGCTACTCATGTTCCCATTGGAAATAAAATCTCGGGACATCATCCCACCACCGATCTTTGATCTTCAGCAGAACGATCTCTGACATAGAAACTATTTCGCTCGAAGTCCTTCCAATTTAAAATGAGTGGAGAAACTACCGATTCGAAACTTCACGCAGCTTCCCTGTTTGTGCGGCCTGATTTCATTCCGCACAAAATAAATTTGAATCCAAAAATCGGAAGACTCACGCAACCAGCGAATTTGAAAAAGGAATGCACGTGATCAAGGAGTCAACTCCACATGTTTCTATTCGCATCCCTAACAGGAACGTCTAACAAACACAAATAAGCGTAAATTAGAGAGATGACCCGATGAATATACTATGCATTCTTTAGGTCTGTACGGCCTAAACAATATTATTTGCAGCGTACATTTCGTCAAGACTTTCAGTTCAAGTGCGGGCTGAGAGTCGAGAAAAGAACGGGGAACCAGACTCGACCTAACCCAAATTAGGCTTCTATCTCTCATGTTGGGTTTAAGAAGAAACAAATACAGTAGAGACACTCACGTCTGTTGGCGGATGATCCTGGTCTTGTCCACGACAATTGTCGGTAACTGGATCGCGTTGGACCTAAAAGCGATCTTGTCGCCCTGTCGCATATCCACAGTTTGTCCCTGACGAACCAGAGCACCATTCACCAATGCACCACTTGAGCTCAACACTTCCATATACACATTGTGTTCTGTAGTCCGGATTATACAGTGGCGTCGCGACACTGACGGATGACAGATTTTAACGTCCGAGTTCGCGTCACGTCCAATGGAAGTAAGGAACTTCGACAACTGTACTTCCATACGAGATCCACCCTCCCGCAACACAACGAGCTTCATATTCTTATCCTGAAAATTCCTTAATTGAAAATAAATCCAGAAAATTATCAAAGCACTGCCGTCAAATACCAAGAAGAGTACGAAAAATTCATCAGGGGCGTGCGACGAGTTTTTCAGAGCCCAAACTGACTCTTTCAGAAGTGTTCGATGCTCCCATGCAGCCCAGATATAGAACATTGATGGGAACATTCTCAAAACACTGAGAAAAAAAATTCCAGGAGGGAAGTTCTGAAAGAAAAACTGTTCTATGTGTGTTGCGAACAATACAAACGTGTCATGATCACAGCCACTTTAGAGGAGTTTCAGTGACTTGTCGAACGAGTGTCAGCTAAGCGACGCACCGGATCAGAATCAGATTAAATGCACATGATATATTCTGGAGCACTTTTGAAAGGAATAAATGGGACACGGTTATTGATATGGCATAATCGCGGGAAGAGTGACTGGAGTATACTGAATTTATACGAACGATGACGAGTGTTTCGAAAATTAATTCTGTATATACGCACTCCCGGAAACCAGGGTATTTCATACGAAGAAATGAACCGCATGAGCATTTCGGATGGAACATTGACAAATATTTTTTTCAGTGATCACTTCAGTGGCCGAGGGATTCCAATCGTAGGATTACCACAAGGAGAACACATTAGGCTTGAACGAAAAAAAAAAAAAGCAGCTCTCTCAACATCGAACAGGAACGCCCATTCAATATCACTTTGAACTGCGATCATCAGTTTCTGACACAAATATATTTTCACAGTTAGTCTTGCATGCTAAGTAATTTTTAGGAGCACAGGTAAGATTCCATGTAACCACGTGCGAAGGAAATCAACCAGCCCACAGCGAACGTTGTCTAGACATTACAGCAGCTTTTCAACTCACAGCCGCTTACTTACACGCCTTCCTGCTAGGCGGCTGTTCATTTCCACTCCATATTTAACGCCCTCAATAAGTGACATCATGATCAGCAAATTTTTGTACCAGGAATTTCAGGTTGAAAGTGTTACAAGAAGGTAATATATTATTCATTCGAAATCTCATCGGACCTATCATGCACTGTTTATTTTAAAAATATGCTCTTGTAATAAGCACCATGTTATTCTGCCCTAGTGGTCTTCCCAGAATCCACATGCTATGCATTACAGTATATAATTTAAGTTGAAATAACACACCACACACCACCGCTTGATCTGATACGCAGTGGCGCTGGCATTGCGGCGTAGAAGAGGAATCCCCAATTTGAGTGGCTCTAAAAGAAGAAGGCACTAAAACGAGGCATCACGACTGAAAACTTCACGAGACAGTCACAGTGAGCGGCCATGTTTTACCACCGCGAACCCTTCAATTACTGACATCTACGAAAACCCCAAACAAACGAATTTCATTACACTTGTCTGGCGATTCAACAACCCTACTGAACTTAAGTTACCCGTAGTGTATTCTGAAAAAAACTGTTGTAATTCAGAGTGAGAAGAACGGCAGGAAAAAAGGAGTACGTATGTCCATGACATTATCCACCAAAGGGAACTCAGAAGTTACGCGGATATGGAAGGAAGGCAGCCATGAAAAATAAGCACACACCCTTAAACTGTATACAGTATTCGGGTCTATGCCGAATCCACGGAGAAAAGTTCAATGGAGAATTAATTCCACCCTGATTTTCCTACAGCGTCATATAGAAATTCCTGTAACAGGAAATTGTATTAATTTTCTGCCGAGACATTTCGTGAGATTCTTCCATCCCGCAACACAACATCCTTCATTTTATCCTGAAAATGCCTCCATTGAAAAGAGATCCACAAAATGATCAAAACACTGCCGTCGACTCTCCAGAAAAGTACGAAAAATTAAACAGGGGCGTGGAAGCAACGAGTTTTTCTTTGCCCAAAATGACTCTTTCAATACTGTTTGATGTTCCCATGCAGCCCAGATATAGAACAATGATAGGAACACATTCACCAACCACTGAGAAGCAAACCTCCACTAGGGAAGTTCCGCAAGACAAAGTGTTCTGTTTGTGATGCTGACATACAAACGTGTCATGATCACATCCGCTCAAGAAGAGTATCAGTGACTTCATACATCCATCAGTTTCCACCAGGAATTTTCTATCTCTCAGGAGACCACTGTGAACATGGGCTCAACTCGACTGGTGAGATGAAATCTGAACGTTGCGAATCACACATCTTATGCATTAGTTTATCCACCACCTCTCGTCTTCCGCATGTTGTCAAACCACAAGAGGACTGTGTACTGCACCTTGTGGGCCGCCATGTTCGTCACAGCGCGCTCTTTCGCAGCGGACAAAGAGCACGGCATTGACAGGGACTTGAGTGATATGACGGATATTGTGTACAATAAGGACTCGGATAACGAGCCTCACTACGTACAATACGATGTGGCAAGTATTCCTGTCAAAATGACAGGGGTGGAGAGATTCCTCTCCACATTCATCACCTCAAACGGTATGCAATTATGTTCTCATCCCTCGGAAGAAAGCATGTAAGCAGGGACTGATTATGAATTCACAGGGAGGAGATACCCACTCAGATACGCCACTGACCACTCAGGAGTTGAGTCTAGGCCTAAAGTTTTTAACTCGCCCTTACTTCAAAAATCTGCAGCTACTCATCAAAAGCCTTCCATTGGCAGAGCAAAAATGAAACCAAGGACAAAACCTGCAAAGATTCTCCAGAAGGCCAAAACACTCAAGCTCAAGAAAACTACAGGACACTATGACAAAGTGAGCTCATTCATGGAATTACTTCAAGCTGCTTTACATTTCTTTTCGTTTTCAGGAAAGACATATTGGGATTCCCATCAGGCAAAAAGGGAAGACACGACCCAAGCATAATCCAGCCACAAAAGAGAACCCTGCAAAGCAAGGAGGAAAGCTTTCCAATAGTGACAAAAAGGTACAGTTTATATTATCAATGTAAAATACTATTCAAGAGAATACATTCCCTGAAAATATGGACCTACTTTCTGGCAGGGTACAGGAAGAAAACTGGCCAAAAAACATATCAACCACAACCAACATGGAAGACATCAACACAAGCATTCAAGTAATTCCACAAAAGGTAGACATGATACCACCTCATTCTGACTGAACTTAGTTTTTATATAACATCACCACACACAGAATGCACAGCACAGCAGAGATATAAGAAATCTTCAGAAAGCCATTTGGAAATGTGATTTGAAAACACCAGTTAACCAAAGATTTCCCTTGATGCATATTTTTCAGAACCCCCCAGTGGGCATGGTTATTACAAATCCACTAATGAGGATTCAACTCCCAAACATACCATTACATGTTCCAAGGGAGCCACACTTACCAAAGGCAATGGCCAAGGCTAGATGTCAATATGGCAAGAAAACAAGGACTCATCAAAGCAGCATTCTGAAGGAAACCATGTAATCAAAACATCCACATACAATATATACCAGTCAATTTTTGTCATAACCAGAATTATTCCTATAGAACCTGGTGATTACCAAAGCAAGACTATCTCGAAATGAGCAATCAACACTGGGTGAGTTATTGAATTGTCCATTAAGAAAGCAATTTATTAAAACTTAACCATTCTTTTATTTCCTTCAAGGAGAAACCAGTTATTCATCAAACAGGTGCTCAGAAGACACTCCTTCAGTCAATCGAATATCACTATCACACAGGGACTCTGATGAGCCTGCCACAGAAATACAAACTCTTCCTGGAAAGTCCTGCAAATTCAACATGGCTGCACTCTTGTGCAACCTATGGTCTTTATCATTTGTGTCATAGGCATTAGATTCATCTTCAGTTTCCTCATCTGTCTCCAAATCCCTGAACTGTGCAGTATCACTGACAAGTCCTCTTGGTCTCTCAAAATCACTCATATCCAGGCCAAATGGATCTGTTGAAGGGTAAGTTTGAAGGACAGGACTTGACCTCACTCTCTCATTGACAACCCCTGCAAGGCAAATAACTTCATTTTTAAATAACATGCAGCATGAGAGGGTACACTTTGAATTCCCTGCATAGTGGAACTGACTGATGAAATATGCAAATGAAACAACACTGAAATACAAGAAACCCCCACACAACAGACCTCCCATGCAATGGATTTTAGCACAGCAGACTGCCTCTGGAGGCAGTTTTCCCTCCTGCGCAATGGACTAAATCTGCCTAACAGACTTATGTTGGTTCAAAATTGATGGTAAACGTGAAAATTTTACTCTTTTAATGATTGAATTTGCATAACAGACCTTCCACCCAACAAACTAGTCTACAGTATTGCACAAATTAAGTCTGTTGTGCAGGGGTTGACTGTACTGTACATTACTGTATCTTATTTAACAGTGTCTATAACCTGAAGGAGATAAGCTTTTAGATTTCATTCCTCAGTATTCAGTTCAAAACTCACCAGCTTCATGCCATGGTAGACAAAATGAACTGTCCTGACTCAAATGCATTGAAGCAGTAGTTTCCATGTTGCTGTGAGGAGCATCAGAATCATCATAATCTTGGAAAACAGCAGAAATTCTGCCTTTGAAGATGTTTCTTTTGCCTGAACCTTGTTGCAACCTGGAAGAGAACATCTGACTCAGGCACCTGAATAAACTTCAATCAAATGTACTTGACCACCTGTCATCAGTATCCATTTCTTCACATCCACTTATTGCTCCCTCACTCAAAGATAACTCATCTCCATGGCCATTGTAACCATGACAAGTGTCATAGTTGGCCTTGCTGGATGTCACCACTGGTTTTGTTGGCAAGGCAAAAACTCCATCTTTCAAGCCTGACTCTGTCTTTACCCAGGTTCCAACATGTCTCAAGTATGTTTCAACCTTGGAATCACCTGGGATCAAGTCAGCTACCAAATTCCTGGTCTCTTCAGTGATGGGAAACTCTGAAGTCTCTGTTGTCCTAGATGTTACCCCATCTCCAAAGTCAAAAATGTACTCAGTCTCTTTGACAATCCTGGACCCTTGTATCCTAGACCTGGTCTTTGTACAAACTTTCATCTGCGGGTCCATGAGGTTAAAGAGGGATTGTTGACAAAAGCTAATCAAGGCACTGTTTAAATTTGGAGAGCTTCTGGGAACTTTCCTCATCTTCCTCTCACCCCTTCTTTCAGAAATAAATAGCTGCTACTGGAAACTCAGTTGTTGCCATGAAAAGGTTTCAGTGTAAAATAAAAATTGTATTTCTTGTGTCTGTGTTGCTGTTCCTCCTGGCTAAAATCATCCCCAGGGTTATGATTCTAGAGGATATCAACATAAACAAGTGTCACAAAATGTTGTCCAAGGTTTCCAATCCAAGGATTCCACCCAAAACCTCACTGGCATTCATCAAGACCCACAAAACTGGGAGCTCAACAATACAAAACATGGTCATGAGGTTTGGGGACACCAGAAACTTGACATTTGTGTTGCCAGAAAATGATATATTTGACTTGAGAGAAATAATGCAAGGAGACTCTGTTACCAATTCTGCTTGGAATCATAATCAGCAGGCAGACATATTTTGTCTCCATTCCTGGTTTTTCAATGCGCAAGAAATTCAACAGGTTGTCAAGAAAGATGCATATTGGTTCACAATTTTGAGACATCCAAGGACCCAATTTGCCTCATTATACAGGTGAAGTTTCAAAAATTGGTTTAACATCATTTTCAGAGCAAGCAATTTCAGCTAATATCATTCTTATTCATATTTGCATATGTTCCATTGCATATTGCAGGTATTTCAACTTTGGACACCCCTTGCTCATGAATGGAAACTTGTCCCACTTTCTGGACACCCACAAACACAATCCTCCAGATATTCTAGCTATTTTTGCTTTCATCAGCAAAGTGCCAAATGAAATGTTGGTGGACTTGGGACTGAGGGTTGAGTATATTAAAAATGAGGAAGTGGTGGATGCTCATCTGATGTTTGTGGAGAGGTTGTTTGACTTGGTTTTGATCATGGAGAGGATGGAGGAAAGTCTGGTGCTCATGAGACACCAACTGGGTTGGGATCTGGAAGATGTCTTGGCTTTTCACCACAATTCTGCAATGAATCAAGGGACTGAAACTTTGTCAAAAACACAGGTGAGGTACAAATACAAGTAATACATTGCAATTTGATCTCCTGCAATTCAATGGTTGAATTTGCAGAAGATTGACTTGAAATTTGACCTGCTTCAGCCACTTTTTTTGCATTTTGTGCTGATGATTCTCAATTTGACTGCTTTGCAATTTGACCCTAGTCTGGCAACATGTTAGGATCAAATTGTGAGGTACCACCTGTAAAACTAAGGTAGAGGTTTTCTAATGCAGCAGTGCCAGGATTTTATAGCCGGTGAACCGCTGGTTTCTCTTAAACTGATGAAAAGCTACCACTGAGGTCCAAATACAACTAGTAGAGCACTTGCTGTTTTTTTTACTCATGACTTTGAAAATATTTAGTTTATTACAGTGGTTGGGGCATTAACTCTAGATTTAGGTATGGACCTATTTTATTGTGTATCAGTGGTTCTTGCTTCATGATTGTGATGAGCCTGTAGTACATTCTTCTAGTAATTCTTGAAAAATGGAGTAGGAAAACCAAAGGTTGAAATACAAATACTATTATCTGAATTTACTGTGATAAAAAAATATTTACTGTATATCAGCATGGTCCTTTCAAGTTTGAAATAGTCTTTGATCATTTGAAGTCACCTTCAGCATGATTCTCCAGCTCCAGGACCTGGATAATTTGCTGTCAGATGACCACAAGCTCTACTCAAAATTTGAGGCCATTTTGGAGGCCAAAATCCAGGAATTTGGCCATCAGAGAATGGCTGATGAGGTGGCAGCTCTCAAGTGTCTCCAAGAGCAAGCTGCTGAGATGTGCCAAGTTCAGGAATTGCCTCCTGCCAAGTTACCACTGCCATATAGACCATATTCCTTGCTTTCATCAGGACTCTACCCAAAAGTCATTGATGACACTTGGGCACATGAGCAGTTGAAGCAGTTCTGCAAGAGGATGTGTTTCACAGAAGGTTTTTATTTAAACTTGTTGAGGGAAAAACAGAGAAAAATGAACATGGAATAAATGAGGTTTCACATGTGACATCCTTGTTTTCTTGCCAAAATGTTGAAGAAACTTCTCTCTGGCAAACACAGTTTGCTGCACCACAGTTTCAAATGTTCTTGCTCTGTTACATCCTCAATGATCTTTGGAAAAAGTCCATAGACATTTTCAAATAAGGGTTTGTAAGCCTCAACTGGTATCTGGTCACTTGGTAATTTTTGAACTCTGCAAAGTTTGTAGGCAACCTGCTGCAAGCAATTCAAAGCATCCAATTCTGCATCCATTCTATGGGCTCCAAACATTGACACCTATCAACCAAACATTATTATATTTTTGAATAATCTTGGCAGCAGTTGGGAACCTTTTGAAGATGCTGGTCCTTGAAGAACTTGTAGAGTGTCCTGTCAGGCCAACTGTGGAAGTCCAAGTCCAGAAGAACATCTTTTGGTATCCCTGGTTGTTTATCAGGGATCTCTTCATTGTGGGTAAACACCAATGCTTCCTCAAGGTCAAAGGACAACAAGTGTCTGAGAAGTACCAAGGACTCTTGGTAGGTCTCATGCAAAAGCACCAAATCAAAGGTCCTGTTGAGGTATTCTATGTGTTGATTGACTGCCTCACTGGTGCAAATTTTTTCCTCTGAAAGTCCAAGATCCAACAGGATTTGATTTCTGCAGTCTTTTGATTTCCTTCTCCCCATGAAATCTTGGTGTGAGCCTGAGTCAATGTTGGACCCCTGCTGTTTGTTGAAAATTTCTTGTCTGAAAATTAGTACATTTGCAGGGCATTATCAGAGATCAAAGCATAAATTATAAATTTAAAAAAGCTTCACAAAATTTTAATGGTCTTGAATAATGGCAAAATTACATATTTCAAGTGTATCAAATTCCATTTTTTCAATGGATATAAATTAAAACTTATTAGATTTATTAAGAATAATTAAGAAATAATAATAATAATAATATTATTATTATTCTTAATAATCCTTATTAAGAATTAAATTTCTTTTTCTTTTCTATTTCATTATTTGGAATGAGCAAAAACTTAAAAGTACCTCATCAGGGATTTGAAGAGTCCTATTGGCTCCCTGATCACAGTTACCCAAACAGGATCCTCTTTCAGCTGCTCTTGAATCAACAGCTTTGAAAAATCAATTGTTTGCAGATTATAAACATCAGCTTGTCTTGAAAAGCAATTTGGCAGCACAAAAGTCAAGTTCCTGGAGTCCCCAAACCTGAAGACAGCATTTTGCAGACTAGAGCCCCCCGTTTTCCATAGTCTTATAGCGGCTAATGGAGGACTTTTTCGAGGAAGTTTTCCGTTTTTGTTGTCCAGATGTCGCACTAAGTTGACCTCCTGTCTGCACTCATTCTCCCACCAAACTGGAGTAACCTCGCCAGCAACTGATGTTTGTGTCACTTGGGTTTTAATAGGGGTTTCTTTCATTTGGATGGACAGAAAAATGGCGGAAAGGACACTTCCTAAAATGAGACACAACAGCAAGTTCAGGAAGAAGCTCATTATTATTTTCTATTCTGGCTACTTTTTTCTTATGCTGGAGGGTTGAGAAATTTTCTGTTGCATCACTCATGGGATTTTTTCTCACCCTTATTCCATGTGTGTGTTTTTTTTTTCAAAGAGCGAAATAAATTTGTGGAGCATTGTGAAAAGGGAAAGTTCTGGTGAAATCATAGTGGAAAGCAAGAAATTATTCCACACAGTCAGTCAAGCGCAGCAAATGGCGCCCTGCCCTCCAGAACCACACAGCCATTCATATCCTGGTTCTCCATCTCAGTTTAGCCCCAGTCATTGTCCTGTTTAGAACTTCAGCTTATTTCTAAGAAAATTGAATCTTTGATGGCAAAAGTTCCATAATTAACTCATCCATGATCATAAAAAAAGAGAAAAGGGAGACATTTTTAAAGGAGGAATAGCTTTAGCAGATAACTTTCACAAAGCCAAAAAAAGCCAATTAGTTCAGGCGTTGTCAAGGAATCACCAGCAGGAGAAGAAAAAGGAGCCACACCCCAACACATGCAAAGAAGTCACACCACCATGAAGCCATTCCAACAGTGGACTGTCTGCTGGTCACACCTTGTCCAGTGTCACTTGGTTTCCCAGATAGTGATGGCTTGAATCTCAGGAAGAATAAGGAAGTCTTGAAAAGGAAAAGCAAAAAAAAAAAACCAGCCATGTTGTGGGTGATGGTGCTTTTTATGGTACATTTGAAACCCAGTGGAAGAGTTTTGGCCACAGGCCATTATTGGAAAAGGAACCATCCAACTGAGCATTTTGACCACTTTGGACCAGTGTTTGACACCTTCCACAGATCCAGGTTTGATTATAATTTTAAGCCCAGTGTTATAACATTCTTATTTCATCAAAGGCAAGCTCAAGTGGTTCACAAGTTTTGATAATCTTAGAATATATGAATTTGAGTTCAAACAAAGGAATATTTTACAGATCCATGAAAACAATTTTCCACTCATTACTCTATGAATTGAAAATAACTGCTAATGAACAGAAATTTTTGAAAATAAAAGGTGCAGGCTTTGTGCCATTTATAACAGCTAAATGTTATTTTACCTTCTTATGGATATCCTAAAGAAATCTTGATATAGTATCTTCTACATGGAATTCTGTTAATCTTGGAATGAAAGCATGATCTGGTCTGGTAATTTAATTCATGTCATATTATTGAGCCTGGCTCATCAAGGAGACTGCCAAAAATATTGTACAGTACTGTACTGCATTTCAATTGAAATCTATTGTCAAGTATAAAAAATTGTAAAATTTCATTTACAGCAGGCCAGACCAACCCTGCCCAAAACATTCTAAAGCCATACATGCCCCAAGTGAAAAAAAGTAAAATAGATTTTCCTGCATAAAACTTACTCATGATGTACTTAAAATATCTCTTTTGTTGAAAATTAAAAAAAAACTCTTTATAGGCAACCAGAGCCACCAAAGGATTGGTTCAGTAAGAGATATGACACCTTCAACAGCCCAAAGGACCAAGACATGGGTTTTCAAGACAGAAGTGGACATACTCCTACATTCACTCCATACTTCAACCAGTACCACAAAAAGCCCTACCAGAAGTTCTCCCCATACAGCAGCTTTGACTGGAAGCAGCAATCAAACCACTACCATACCTACACCAATCCCAAAACTAGTACCAGCACAACCACCACAAGTACCCCAAGCCCTTTGAGACTTCAGAAATATCCTGTGAAGCAGCCCTGGCACAACAGTCCTAATGGGGATTGGGGCACAGAGAGTATAACTGAGCCCACAAAACCTCAAGTTACTCAAGAAGTTCCCACTGAAAGCTTGTCTGGAGGACCATTGGATGACCCAGAGTTTCTAGCTTTCTTGGCTGAGGAGTTGCAGACTAATGTTGGGGAAGTTGCTGAAGCTCTGAGAAGACCAGTCCCTGATGGATATTCAGACCAACAGGCTGAGTTCCTGAAAAAACTATACCAAGACTTCATCAACAAAAAGCCAGTCTTTGCCACAAGCCAGCCAACTGGATCCTATGAACAGGTGAGGCAAATTATAAAAAAAACAAATATCCCTTGTCTCTCAACAAAGTCACACATTCCATTTCCTCAAGTGATATTTCCATAGGTAAATAAAAGCCAATTTCAAATAAAAATCCATCAAAGTGATACTACTCCAAGATGAGTAACTGAAATATTCTCCATTTAGGTAACTACAGTGTTGCCAGCTGAGCAGCAGTTGGATGAGACACCATTTGACCCCAGCATAACCCATGGACTGATGGCAGATACACCAGAGAGTCCTTTGGCAAATTTCAGAAGGCAATTCTCTCATGTTCCTAGTGGTGATATTGGAAAACTACTGGAACTTTGTGGTTGCCCCTCAAAGCAAAGCAAAATTTGTGCAGCAGATGGTTGGAACTATGAAAACACGTGCATACTGCGGTGTCTCACTGGTCAGTTGCTGTTTATTTTCATTTGAGTGATCTTTAAATTATTGTCCAAGAAGTAAAACTGTCAAGCAATGTTTCTTGTAAAAAGTTGAACCAGGTTCTTGAAAATACCATATTTACTGGTTGAAGAACTTGAAGCTTCCCCAAAATGGCGTTTATTTTGCTTTGGCTGTAAAATAAAATGCAATAGTAAAATATTTTTTTTACAACAAAGCCACTTTGAATAGATTACTTTCAATGGAAAATTTGTCATAAATTAGCTCATTCAATATTAAGGCTACTGGACAGGGAACTAAGAAATGACTTCATTGTAAGAAATGACTTGCTATAATGAGTTTCATTGTGATGAGATTCTACTGTTTTCAGCTGTAATATCAGACTAAGCAGACACTGTGAAGGATATACAGTATAACAAGGCAAACAGCTAATTGGAATGTGGCTTCTGTGTTCAAAGGAGTCCATCAGTTCTATATATGTCCCCAAAGATTAAAAAAAAATGAAAACCAGACTAAAATAATTAATGGATTGTTAGTGGAAAGAAGCCTGCCAGCAGTACTCTTCTGTCTGGATATGGGCATCAGGTTTCTCATCAGAGGGCCAGGTTTCTGGATGCCCTCTAAGTGACATCCCCTTTACCCTTGTTTTCTTCTATACAGGATAATAATGTGGTATAAAGGATGAAAAAAATATATTTTGACCAAGAACTGCAGGAATCACCAAAGCCACTTCACCCCACTTATTTGCTTATCTGTCTATTGTTCATGATAATCCCCAGGTTTTCCCAACATTTATCCCAACTCCTGTTACTTGAGGTTTTCCCCCAGCAGGGCGCTGTCTTTTAAAAGGGCATCAACTGCATAGTTCAGTAACCTTCTTCAAGGCATTTAAGTGCCTTTTGTAGTTGATGGTATATAGACAGAAATTTTACCAAGAGTAACTGCACTTTTTTGAAATACCCAAGGACTCTTATATATTCTTGGAAATTAAACTTGTTAAAAATTTTTCTATGGATGAACTTATTATATACAAACCTTAATTATTTTGATTTTTGATAATTAAAAGTGTAGTACTGTATACATAGAAATGAATTGGCAGAAAAGTTCCAAGGTTAGGCTTCAGAGCCATTCTAAGTCAACTGGGGTACTTTTAATGTGTTCATGCAGATGATTTTCTTCCAATTGTCATAATTATAGGGTCAGATTATAAGAAATATTGATATTTAGGAATAGTTTTCAGGAGACATTTTGTTCACAAAAGATTTGTTTTCAGAAATGGTGGGAAAGCAGCACCCTCACCATTATTCCCACAAACTTAGAAGTCACTTCAAATATCCATCATTTATCTTCCCTCTTACAGCATCCAGGTGGCAGCACATGAGAGAATGTCACATCTACAAGACCACAGTCACTGGTCGCATTTTTGATGTGGACATAAACCGTCCTTATGCCCTTCAGGAAAATTTTGGTGGAGAGAGAGTCTGCAGAGTATCTATTGCAGCCATGGAAGGTAATCAATCATATTGTAGTTATTTTCATGACAAAAAATGGGTTTTAATTGGCAATGAGAATCATGCAACAGGAATGTGTGGAGTCCAGTTCAAGAAGATACAGTTTGACCTGGGACAAAGGATAGACAGTTGCAACAAAAACTACTTGCTGGTTGAAGAGGCCAAGTTCTGCAATGAAGGCAACTACTTCCCTGGTAACCAATTTTCTCAAAATTCAAATGTAATATGATTTATATTTATAAATCTTTCCAGGACTTGTCAACTTTAATCCAGAGATGAGAGTGGACCTAAGTTACCACCTGGAAAATGACACAAAAGGATTTGACCTCTTTTTCAGCCAAGTGCCCTGTGAAGACCCAGGAGAGGACCAGTCACAAATCCAAAACAATTACAGAAGTAACTCTCTACAATACAGTTTTCATATGTTCATTTGAGATTATTGATGGTGTTTAACTCAATTTCCAGAGGATGGACCATGTGAAATTTACTTGTCAGGGGCCACTGGCAGATTCATGACTTCTGCACTCAAAAGTCACCAATTGAACACCAAATGCAGAGTCACCATTGTAGCAGATGACAGTAAGCAGCTACAGGATTCATCTTTCTGTTCCCTAGGTGTCACTCTCTTCTGATGAACCAATTATCTTTGCACCACAGGCAAGTGTGGATTGGAGCTGAAATTTCACAGGTTCTCACTGTCAAGGAACAGGCAATGTGAAGAAGAATATTTCAAGGTGTCAGGAAAGAGATATTGTGGATCAGGACCTCAGCTGATGCCCAGTGAGTTGACAAATTATTTTAAGTGATTTTAAAATTATTTTAAGCAATTATAAATTATTAAAATTACAGCTGAAGCAGCATTTGATGGAAAATTCATGCAACCCTTTGAATTTCTCCTGAAATCAAACAATTCCGATGTGGACTTTTTCTTCAAACAAATACCTTGTGAAACTATGTCAACCAAAGGTGAAGATTTGAATATTTATTTTGATGGATTTTGAAATTTATGATGATGGAATGTATTTTATTTTCAGGGATTTCAGTCCGTCATGAAGGTGCTTGTGAAGTGTGAAGTACAACCTCTGTTGCAGTTTTTAATTTATCATTTGCACACTTTGCAGAGTGAATAAAAAGAGCCAGAATTTTTTCCAGGAAGCTTTTATATATTCAATATAAGAACCGGATGTTCAATAGAATCCTTGATCAAATGATTCCACTTCCATCCTTCTTTCCCCATATTCTTCTCCCCTCAAGTTCAAGGTAAACAAGAAAAAGAAGAACTTCCTGTTCCTGTCATCACAAAACATTCAATGGATCCTCCTCCAGGCAATTATCTGTTCATCAGCAGGAGAAACAAAATTCCCCAGGGTTTCTTTCAAGGATTTTAAGCTGAAGAAGGCCTGTTTGACTGATTCCTGGAGAAGGGGGTCTGGGTTGGCATTTTCATCCATGGGAAATTCATTCCTGGAATGGAATCATTGTGAGACTTTTCTGTGTGTGAGGCTTTGGGATGCTTCAGCTGGTTCCCAGTCCACCTTGAAGCCTACTTCCTTCTATTTCTGGGCAGAGAAACTTATTCATAAACTTGCTGCTTAATTGGTCTGAATAATGAAGTTGATGGTGAGCTGGAGACATTCAGTTCTTGATGAAGCGTCACCTGAAGCAGGTGTATCAAGAGTTGGTGGTGAATCTTGCAATTGAGAAAAATATAACAAGGAAAAGTGATATTTTCAAACTGATACATTGTATTGAAAACAGTTTCAGTGCATTCATCCAGAATATGATAAAGTATTGTAAACATTTCACAGTAGAATAGGTCCAATAAGTATATTAACTCAAAATTTGTTGACATTTTTCATAAATAGTAAATTAGGTGCTGGTGATTCACAAAAAAATTCTGAAATCCAATCCACCAGTCCCAAGTTCCCAATTTAAACTTATATTTTTTAGCTATAACTTTTACTTTATATGAAATGTTCTAAATGGCCATTAAAAATTAAATTCAAACTTTACTGGATCATTTTGACTACAATATTTATATTAGAAATGGCTTTCAAATCAATTTACTACAGTACCTCAGATGATGACTGATTATTTGGGAAATGTGTTGCATTGAATTTGTGCTAAACTGATTCTCAGAAAATAAAATGCAAACTGATGCAATTTGAAGTGTGGAAGTTTGCATGTATCCTTGAAAGTTTGCAATACTGTATCAAGATTAAAAGTATAGAGGCAATTGTTTACCAAAAAAGACAGTTGGTATGCATTTTGAAAAGTATATCACTACAAGTTTTATCCTTAACAAATATCAGTTCTGCTCTTCATTCAGCTTTACAAGATGACTTTAGCTGTTTGGAAGGTCTTTGTCCAGTGAATCCATGTTCAATGAATCCATTTTTTAAAATTTCTGGACTTTCTTTTCAATGAAGGAGCTGGAGTGTTTTATTTTGGTGCAGAACATTTTAGGTGACTTATTGAGGATGAGAGGTGTGCATCAAGCTATAGTGATTGTTGTGCTGGCAACTCTGGGCCATGGTCAGCCACAAAATTTCAATGCTCAAGCCCTCACCATGTTGTCCCAGATGGCCTTGAAACCCTGTCCTCAGGACACCTCCCCTTGTGTTTGCAGACCAACCCCTGATGGACCAGAGCTAGAGTGCACAGCAGTTAATGAGGCACAGGCTCTGCAATTTTCTCAGGCATTTCAGGATCCTATCCACTACAGGAAAATAACTTTGCAAAGATCCAGAATGCTGGAGCTTCCACATGATGCATTTGGTGAAGCAACAGCTGATATATATGTCATCCAAAACAACCCCAACTTGGAGACCATTGAGATTGGTGCTTTAGGAAACTTTGCCAACCCCAAAATACTCATTGTACAAAGGAATCCTCAACTTGAAGAGTTTCCCTTCAGTGATCTGAAAAAGTATGTGAAGCTTATAGAATTCAACTCAATCATGAGAACCAGTTTTATTTATCTTTGCCTATGCTCCATGCAGGTGGTTGGACCTTGAGAAGTTTGTTCTTACAGACAACAGGATCCTGGAAATACCAGACTTTGCATTTGATGGTGTGAATGGACAGCTGAAGGAGATTCATTTGCAAAGGAATGTCATTCTTGACCTTGGGCCTCTGGCCTTCAGAGGGCTGTCCAATCTAGAGTACTTGGACTTGTCAGGAAACCAAATTGCTGCTTTGTCAGCTGGCTCTTTGTTCTTTTCTGAACCTCTGAAGCATTTGGACTTGTCCAGGAACAGAATAAGCAACATTGATGTGAAAGCTTTTGAGGACCCATCCAGATCAGGTCAGGATTTATATATATATATATATAATCATAGAACACTGCATGGTGACTCAAACCAAAACTTTGAGCTTTTTCCACTTTATACTTTGTCACCATTGCTGTAAGATTTTTCAGAGTGGGATCCGGTCCTTGCTTGGTCAGTCATTTTTTCTATAAAAAAAGAGGCAGTATTATTGTTCAGAGTTTTAACAAGGGCAGTATTTTTGAATTGAGTCATCAATGTACAACATGGGAACTGAGAAATCCACAGGATACTTTTCCTCATCATAAAGTTTTATTGTGAATTGCTCAACAGGTTTAGTTAATTTATATTTGTTTGTATGCATATTTTTCATTTAACTTTTCAATTTTGGGTTTTTGTAATGCTTTGAATAAGTACCGTACTGAATCTCTAAATACAGTACAGTAATTTTAGGAATAATTTGGAAAATCACATGTTCAAAACATTTTTTTTTCAGGAAGTGGGAATTTTGCAGAATACATAGATTTCTCCAACAACCTCTTCACTTTCTTGGAAAATGCAAAATGGGAGCCCATATTCAAGAAATTGGATTCATTCAAGGCCAGCTTGGAAGAACCACCATCAACCACTACCCAATTCAATCCATTCCTCCTGTTGCAGCAGTTTGGGAATTTGCAACAATTGGCAGTTTCCACAACTACACAAGCGCCATCTACCACAATTGTGCTTCCTGTGCAGCCCACAGCAGTTGAAAACAATCCTGAAGCATTATTTTTCCAGTTTCTTCAGACTCTCCTTCAGAAGAATGGTGAAGGTGTGCCTGCAGTGCAAGGAAACCCTGTGATCACCTCTGGGGCTCCAAGCACAACTAGTACATCTACCACTACAACCACTACTACCACTACTAGCACCACCACCACCACTGAAGCACCAAGTACTAGCACAACAACAACTGAGCCCCCAACAAGTTCCACAACAGCACCAAGTTCATCCACCACAGCTTTGCCAGCAGTGACAATCCCTGCTCAAGTGCCAGATACTAGAGTCAGTAACATCTGGAGTTCCATACTGAGTGAACTAGATCAGCTCATTCAAGCCAAGAGAGTAGAAATTACCCCTATTGGCTCCACAACAACCACTACTGCAACTAGTTCATCTGCAACAGAGTCTCCATCATCTGTCTCATCATCCACCAATGGACCTGCATTAGTGGAACTGGCCACTGAATCTGGCATCAACATTCAACCTGATACCATTCCTCAAGAACAGAATACCATTGATGTGTCTGGACCAGCACAGTTGGAATTTGGAGCCAGAGTTCCAAAGGCTTTTCACAGTGAACCTCAGGGGAACCAATTGCAGCAGCCTGGAGCAGGTTCAGTCAAAGATCCTGAACCTCTGGGGGTTACTTGGGATACTCCAGGGTTTGAAAGTGTACCAAATGAGCCTCAGCCTGACCCCTTTGCATTTTTTGGACCTCTGGGATCAGATTTCTTCTTTGGAGCCTCAGGAATTGTCACTGGACTAGCTGGCAGTCCTAGTCCTGCTGTGATTCTCAAGAAAACAGCTGAAACTATTGCCACACAGCCTAGTAGTGGGTTAGAAGTGACCTCTGCTGGTGTACCTTCAACTACCACAACTGTTTCTCCAGCTACAGAGTCAAGTACAGTAAGCAGCTCTTCAGTCACAGAGGCCAGTGCAGTCAGTTCTTCAATAACCACAGAGTCAAGTACAGTAGTCAGTTCTTCAACCACAGAAGCAAGTACTGTCAGCTTGTCCAACACAGAGTCAAGTACAGTCAGCTCTTCCACAACAGAGTCAACTACATCAAGTCCATCCACAACAGAGTCCACCACACTGAGTGCTGCCACCACAGAGTCAACTTTAGCCAGTGTTTCAAACACAGAACCCACAAAAGTGTCAACCACTGAGTCACCAGCAACAGCTGAGATAAGCTTAGGAACCACAACCACAACCATGCAATCACCTTCCACAAGTACAACAACTGAAACCCCACTGGCAGTGCAAGAAGCCCTGGCTTCAATAGCCAACTTGAGAAGACAGCTCCAACTGGCCATAGACTCAATCCCATTTGCTATAGCTGCTGCTTTTGGCAGCATGCAACCAACACCACCACAGGCAGTTGTCAACACCAACAACTTCACTACCCCTTTGGCAGGGATAAGAAGAAAAAGAGCTGCTGAGGAAGCTTTATTCAGAGCCAAAAGGCAGGCTGAACAGGTCAATCTGGACCCTCCTACTAGGTCAAGCAAGAAGGCAACAACCCCTGCCCCAATGAAACCATTGTTCTCAATCAACTTCAATAGTGAGTCCTTTTCCTTCCTTCATTGATCATATATGGAAGTTGAATTTTCTTTCTTTTTTATCTCCCACAGACAACCCCTTCATGTGCAATTGTGACATGCAATGGCTGTTCTTTGATAGATTCAAGTATGCTGATCAGGTCCTGGGAGTGAAGTGTGAGAACAGGATGAACATCTTCCAGCTGTCCTCAGTCCACTTCTTTTCTTGCTGAAAAGCAATGCATTTGCTGCCATATTTCCTCAGTGTAATTAAATAATAATAAAAAACAGATTTTTTAATTGTGAAAATTTTTATTTTCCATAAAATTATAAGCATTTGTATAAAAGTGCACCAAATGGAGAAAGTACTGAAGCTGCTGAAGTTGGTCTCTCACCTGTTGGGAGAAACAAAGGAATGAAGACATTAGCTTCTGGGGACACAAAGGGCATTGTTTTGGAAGTACTCACTTATTTTGAGGCTTTGAAGCAGTGCCTTAATAGCCATTGTTGTGTCCAATGTTTCCACCACTGCAGAATTGGACAAAGAGAGGGTTTTAAAGGGATTCAGTAGAATATCTTCACAACCAACACTACCATAAAACCATTTCAAACTGTACCCCTTTCTTTTTTTAAAGGACCAAAATACGTTGTGCAGAATTTATTCTACTAATTCCTAGTATAAAGCATCAATCATTTTCGGGTTTTAAAAATTGGCTCATGGAGGTTACATGTCTTAGGGTGAACAAAAGTCAGCATTTTATTTCCACAATATACCCATTAATACTGAAAGAGTACCCTGAATAATTTTCATCATACAGCATTTTGCTTCTGCCAATCAGATAATTTTCATGGGCATAGCAACTGTTTTTTGTAGTTTGACTTTAAAAAAAACACAAAAAGAAGCTGTTCATAAGTAAATATGTTGGGAATGAAATATTCTCATTTTTTCCATAAATAAAAAATCAGGTGATGGTGCACTTGAAGGTTTTTGAAATTTTAGCAAAGCATTTCTCGCACAACCTTAAAAAGAAAATTGATTTAATATATACTGTACTAAAATATTTTATTGACACCGGGGTGGCAATGAATTCATTTTTTCACAAAAATGCTGCCAACTGGAAAATGAAATTGTAAGGGAATAATGCCTGCTTCCTCTCTAAAAAATATTTACCATTTGAAAAAAAAATTTCCCAGTGCATTCAAAATTTAATTTGACAAGGTTCAAGTTACAAGCCAAGTTAAAAAAAATGCTTGCTAACCTGTAGCCACCAGAGTGTCCAATGGAAACTTCTCCACTGTCATCTCCAGCATAGCCTCCAGAGCTGTATCCTCCTCTGGTTCCATGGGAAGAACCCCCATAGCTGACAGGGGCAAAGGATGCTCCACCATACCCTTGTCCCAAGGAACCATGCCCTGAGCTGAAGCCATGGCTGATGGCACCACCACTGTACCCCAGAGAGCTTCCTCCATATCCATTGGATCCATGGCTGATATGGCTGCTTCCATATCCAAGTCCTCTCAGGGAACCACCTCCATAGCCTCCTCCAATGGAGCCACCTCCATAACCTCCTCCAATGGATCCACTTCCATAGCCTCCTCCAAGGGAACCACCTCCATAACTTCCTCCAATGGAACCACCTCCATAACCTCCTCCAATGGATCCACCATAGCCACCCAGAGACTGGGAACCTCTGCCATAACCAGTGCCACCAGAGACAATGCCACCTCCATAACCTGAACCATGGTTGTTTTGGTAGGTAGAGTGGGATGGTCTGTAGTAGTATGAAGGTCTATAATAGGTCTGGCCAAGCACAGATCCTCCATAAGAGTACCTGAAAATTTTTTAAATCATTATGAATCTCAACTTATTGTGACCAATAACACTGAGGGATGAATGCCTATAAACTTGCCTGCCAGGGCTAACATGACCCCTGCTGATCCCAGTGGAGTAGCTCTTTGAGTACCCCTTATTCCTGTGGCCTGAGGCCCTCAAGTGACCCCCACCATAACCCCCACCAATGCTTCCCTGTCCATAACCATGCCTCTTGGACCTGTCTGCTTCCTCCTGCAAAGCATCCCCTAGTGGTCTTCCAGGCTTGTCTGCCAAGCACATGGCAGTAAATGCCAAAAGCACCAATACAGTCTAAACAAAACACAAATGTTCAGCACAGACAATAAGGCACTTTTTTTCCAAAACTGATGAGAAAAAAAAAAAACAGGACACACAAACTCACTTTGGTCACCATCATGTTGTCTTGTGGGAGGTGGTGGAAAGACTCAGTGCTGTGATGGGAAATTCTCCTGGCTTTTATACTTATTATTCTTTGCCTGTTGGGCGCGGCCTTGGATTCCTATATACTCCAAGAGAGAAAATAAAAAAAAAGTGTATTGGTTATTGTCGCAGTGTTTTTTTGCCTGCTGGGTGCTTCCTTCAGGAAAGCAAGTGACATCACTTGAGGAATTGGGACAGCTTGCATAACTTCTCCAGGTATCAGGGAATTCATGTCTCCTCTCACATTTTCCCAGTTCTTCCCCACCCCCCCTCTGGGCAAATAAAAAAACAGGTGAACCTGAAGTGAGTGACTGGAGATGAGTGGATTTCATGGAATGGAAATGATTGCATCATTTCTTTGACGGAAAGATGTTTTCCTCATGGGATCTCAACAGTTTTTTTTTTGGGGCCCATATAACTCGCATTCCTTTGGGGGGAATATACTTGCAGACATTTATGGTGGACACTTGATCAGCCATATATATGAAGCTACAGTATATTGAGAAAATATTTCCCCCCCAAAAAAGACGCAACAGTCTCTCACATCAACTGAGTTGATTCAACTTGTCAAACTATTTCTTTGGATGCCCAAAATCAAATTAGTAATAATATAGAAGTTCAGGAATTAAATTCAAAAAATAAGAAAAGTGATAAATAGACTGCACATGTTCTATGGAAAATCAAACATTATTGTTCCAAAATTTTGGGTTATTCTGCAAATGAATGCAATTTAAAATTAGTTCTGTCATTGAAGGAAAAAATGGACTATATCAAGAAGTTCATTAAAAATCAATCATGCATGTTTCTGTGACTCACTTGAACTTGGCTTGATTCTGCATTTAAAAATTTTAATACGTGATAAAATACTACAAATATTTCATTAATAAAATGGTAAAAATATTACATTATCAAAATGGCAAAAATATTTAATTACTAAAATGGTAGAAATATTACATTTTTAAAATGGTAAAAAGATCACATTATTAAATTGGTAAAAGTATTACATTATTAGAATGGTAAAAATATCAAATTATTAAAACTTGAAAATATTTCTATGAGTGAAAAATAGAGGCTCATTTCAAGGGTTCATGCTGCTGCTTGCTGTTTAATTTGTTGTTAAATAATTTACATTTAAGTTAGGAAATTCAGCTGAAATGAATTATAGGGAAATGTATCACTTCACTGCTTGTTTCCAATGCTTAAAAAACCATAAATCATTGACAGCCCATATTCAGTCAACTTCTCTGGTCTTCAGCAAAAATGAACTTTTGCATTTTGCTTGATCACAAATTTCATTTAAATGATCAACATTTGAATTTTAGTTAATGTGTGTGTGTCTTAAAGTGCATCTGCTTTCAAGAATAAATGTTGCAACTTTTGATGTTATTTCATTAAAATTGTTGGAAAAACATCCATCATAATTAAAAATAAATAAAATCTTGACTTTACTACATTGAAAAGAATATACTTTCAATTGACAGCACTTGAACAGTCAATTGCTCTCTTATCCAAGAGCACAGAGAATTATTTTTCATCATCAATAACTGCCCTTGATGGGTAAACATTCCAGCATAAAAAACAGTGGAAAGTGTGCAAGAATGCTACCCAAGAGTCAACAAACAAGTTACCCAAGGAAAAGAAAAAAATATAAATCAAAACTGTTGTTTACCACAATGCCCTTCCTAAAAAAAAATGAAAACCATGTAGGTCAAATAGCTTGTGCAATTAAATACTCATGAAAACAATCTTCTTTGCCCCATAGGAGTGGCCCCAGGGGGGGGGGGGAAGAGAAGGTTCGTGTGTCACAGGTGTCAGTGACTTGCCTAATTAACCCCAATGTGATGCGATCTGATTCCCACACCATATAGACTATACTGAAGCCATCCAAATTACCCAACAATGTCAAGGGATAATTAGAGGGCAAAGTATAGTGATGGTATTAAAAATCAGTACAAGTGCCCTTTTTCTCCTTGGGGGGGGGGGGGAATATCATCATCATTGCGTCATTGCATGGAAGGAATTTCTGTTGGCCTTGTTCCACCTGCTTGAGTTTACTATTTTTTATTTTTCTTTTGGGTGCAAGAAATTCTTTGACCTGTACATCATTGATTCAACACCAAGAGTTGTTGCCATGGAGACATTCTAATGATTAGCCTTTCCACATATGTGCTGTATCCATGGCTGAGAGTTTCCTTCTCAGTTCTTTTCCAGACACTGAGAAACATACTCTGTGAATACTTCTTTTTTTTTGTAATTTGGTCAGGTGTTTATTTCAATAATTTTTGTAAGCCATGAGAGATCTGTTGCAAAGTGAGAGACCCCTGTCAGCCAATGCTCTGGTTGTCATAGAGTCCCAGGGCTCTGTGATCAGGCACTTGCGCCCTCGCACAGCCACTTCTCCCACACAGACACCAGCCATCTTGTCTGAAGAACAGCTGCATTCTTTCAAGTCTTTGTTGAGTTTGCCCACAGCCACGGATTACAGGCAAATGAGACAGAGGAGACAGGCTGGCAGGGAAGCAGAGGCTCAGAAGCGCCATGACAGAAGGCTTTTTCTTGTGGCCAAACACAGAGATGAGTCTATGAAACAGTGAGTATATATATATATGTTAGCCAATATTTTGGGGGCATGGGTTGATTATTTTTAGAATAATGGTGACAACTTGATGCAAAGGAATATGCAGTCAATCATTTGTCTGCAGTTTAAAGCATATGTATCATGAATTCATGATCTCCAACATCCAGATCCAAAACTGAGTCCATGAAAAAAATTGTTTAAGACATATCATAGAGTATATTTTTCATATTTTTAGAATAGGTCCCAGATTGCAGAAGATTATGTAATCAATCACATGTTGGCTACAGTTTTAAAACATTGATCATGATTTCTACCTTCCAGATCCAAAAAATGAGTCCATGAAAAATGAACACATAAGACAATATTTTAGAGCATATTTTGTATATTTTTAAAATAGGTGCCAGCTTGCAGGAGACTATATAACCAATCACTTGTTTGATACAGTTCAAAAAGTATTCATCAAAATTTCCATGAACCTTCAGATCAAAAAAAAAATCATGCAAAAATGGGTGAATATGTGAGGTAATATTTTGAAGCTTGTGTCATGTATTTTGAGAATAGGTGCCAGATTACAGAAGATTAAATAAAAAATCACCTACTGTTGTTTTCAGCTTTTGATATATTCTTCATGATTTCTATGATCATCCAAATCCACAAATGAGTAAATAATAAACAGTGAGTATACAGGAGACAATCTTGTAGTGATTTCTGTTGAATATATTTTAGATTGGTGTCAGCTTGAAGAACATAATGTCATCAATCCCCTTTTGGCCAGTGTACAAAATAGTCATAATGATTTTTATCATTATCCTTCCAAAGTGCACAAGTAATGGTTCACAAGACCTTTGTTGTACATGTGGAGACTGCATTGAAAGTCAAGTATATTATCCTTCATATTTGCATAATTCCATGAAATGAGTAAAAATTTGTTTAGTGCATGAGCCATACCATATTGAAAAATACTGTGTACTGGTATGATGAAGTGCAAATCATTGTTTGGCATAGGGCAAGAAATCAATCACCTTTTCCACAAAGTATTGATTTTGGGATTGAATAACTCATGAAATGACCATCATGATACTGTATCTCTGAGCATACAGATTGCATTGTAATGTATGAGAATGAATTTGTAAACTTGTTTTGCATATGAGAAGTAATGTACAATATATGTTGCCCCTTACCCTTCTGATGAGTGGGTGTTTCAGAAATAGAATCAGCTTCCATTCTTGAAACAAGTCATAAAATGGTAATAAATTCTCCTGCTCATATTTCACAAAGAACTTTTCACCTTTCTTTCAAGGTTGTCTTGATGTCAGCATTTATGAGGTTGTCAAAATGTTTTGAATCCTTTGAATGCTGACAAACATACTTATGCATTAATCAATCAAAATAGGTTGCCATTCAGAAATTGAAAGAGGAGTGATATGTTAGCATTAATATCCACTCATTTAGTCATACTGTGGAATTTCATTGAAAAAAACCAAAGCAAAAAGCTATTGCTAGCAATGTATTCTTGAGATTTTTATCAATCTTTTGTTGCATAAATCTTTCAAGATTGAAAATTAGCAATATTGAAGGAGACCTGATGGCTGCTAAAATCATAATAAAAAGTTATTGCTGACAATTAACATTTGATATTTTTGTAGAGGTCTGTTGCTCATCTTGGACTATTTTGTGTCACAAGATTCTTTTGTAAACTCTATAAATCTTCAATGTGATGATTCAAAAAAAATCCAAAATTTTTCCCATTTCTTTCAGTGCTGCCAAGAATACAGTCTTACCCACACACACACACATGAATAACCCTTTGTTCATGTTGCAGTGAAAAGGCGGAGCCTCCAGTTTCCTGCAAGCCCCACCCAGAAAAATTCTCAAGACATCCGCATTCCCATCTATATACCTTCAATAAAGTACACATATATTTTCCCCTCATTACAGTGAAAAGGACGAAGACAGGCGCGAACAAGAAAAGATCCAACAACAAGCGCAGGAAAGAGCACTGGCCATGAACATAGAGAATGATGAGGCACTGAGGAAAGCCTGCTCTGTGATCCTGGGAGCCAAGTGCTTTGCTGTCCAGTCCGCACAAATGGCCGCCTCTGAACACCAGCCTTGCAATGAAGCCCAGTCTGAAGAGAGCGCCGACATCTTTGAGAAGTTTGCATATACTGTACTTTTTTTCCAAGATTCAATGTGCACAAAAATAAACCAAACTGTAATACAAGATAATTTTGAAAAAGAAGTTTGCAAGTGGTTTTCTTCAATTTGCACTTTAAATTAGCAGCATTCTTCATTAGATTAATGACATCATTTCTCAAAGATGTAGAAAATATTTCATGAGGGGAGAGATGGAAAAAAGTTCATTAATAACAGATTTCTGACCACTGAAGAAGCTAAAA